GAAACACAACATGGCATAAACATAAACTTCTAGCGCTCCGTGCGGTGCGCCAAAAGTTTATGTTTATGGCGTTTTTCTGCTTCGATGCGGTGCGTATCCTGGTGCTGAAACTCTGGCTTTCTTCGTCTTCCTCCTGGATGCCTTGTCGGACTCAAGCCACAACTACACACATTACCACGACTGCCAATGCGTGGTGGATTCGTGGCACGTCTCACGTTGTATCTGAAGCCCCCATTCGAGTATATGGGCCCGCGCTCGTGTGAAGGCTGCTGACATTCCTTACGGTAGCAATTGCTTGTACAAGGTGTAGGCCCAACTCAGCGTCTTCTTCCTGCCCAGTCCGCCTGCCCGTCTTATTCCAACCAGCGCCTTGAATGTCGGTCGCGTACTGTCGTAAAGCATATCGACAGATACATTGAAGTTGTAATGTCCTGTGCGCTGCCGAACCTTAATGAGATCCCACGCCCTCCTTGATGTTTGAACCGCCCTGCCACCGATGTGATGCCTCCTACGCAAGTCCCGCATGAATTGGCATGGGGCCATTCTGTGCAGCGCTTCCGGTGCCCTGTATGTTGGGACTCTTATCGATGCAAGCTCAAGCTTTCAAACATTCTGTGCCTGGCCCCACATGATTTCGGCCAGGTCGTATTGCGTACGGGCAAATTTGAGTTTTGCCGCTTGTGCCGGTCGTACTCGTTCACATACGTCGGCCACCTGCGCACTCTTTGTCGCATACGCCCAAGATCCACCACTGCCCAATCCAGACTCGGAAGGTTGATGCAATGATTCGACCCCATGGGTAAAACCAATCCACAGGTCCTGTGGCTACCCGTGATAACCCGGCCGTGTAACGAATTGGGGGACCCCGCTGCCGTTGATCCTGGTCTTGCGTGGGTTTCCCTATTTGTGTTCTGATGCATAGGATCTTGCTATACTGCTACAATTCAGCTGCGGAAGCCATCTTCTCCAGCGGCACATCTATAGTATTAGGTGATACTATAATTCTTGCGTGCACAATTCAGCTGCAGAAGCCATCTGGCTCCAACGAAAGGCATGCATGTGCTTTAATGTTCAGTCCCGTTGTGCTCATCGGTTTTTATGCCGCTTGGCCGATAAGATGACACCGCATGTTGTTCAACAACGTATGGTTGTCAAGTATTGCGCGGTGGAGCGGACGGCTCCTTCCAGGTTGACACATGCGGTTTCATCGTCGTAACGGGGGCATGCGCTTCCAAGGTTTTTTTTAGAGGAAGCGCGTTGGGGGGAAGGGGAAGGAGGGAAAGGGTAGGGAAGGGCAATGCGATGCAATGCGAGGGGGCGTGTTTTTCTGCGGACGTACTGTCCGCACGCTCTCTATTCCTCATGAGCATGTTCCTCTTCTTACGTGATCAGATTCAAGTTCTCCCAGTTCCTCCAGCTGGGGCTTGCAAGCCAACAACACCTAAGGAACAACCCAACAGTAACAAAGAAACCAAGCACAGATGCCTAAACAACAGAAACACCGAAGCAACCATTAATAGAAACAACCCAAGATTTCAATACTTACACCTCCTCCCCCTCCTCCCCTCCCAGCCTGGGGCCTGAACACCAAACAAACCCGAGGAACAAACGAACCAGCCAAAGAAATCAAGCACAGAGGCTTCAAGCAGAAAGAACTAAGGAATACCAAACAAAAACAACAATGTTTCAATACGTACACCTCCTCCTCCCCCCCCCCCCCCCGAGGCGGCGAGGAGGGCGAGGAGGAGGGGGAGGAGGAGGGGTAAGTATTGGAATATATTGTTTGTTGGTTCTTCCCTATGTTTGTTCTTAGTTTTTGAAGCCTCTGTGTTTGAGCTCTTTGTTAGTTTGATTGGTCCTTAGGTTTTTTTGTGTTCAGGCCCCAGGTGGGGAGGGGGAGGGGGAGGGGGGGGAGGAGGAGGAGGAGGAGGAGGAGGAGGAGGAGGAGGAGGAGGAGGAGGAGGAGGAGGAGGAGGCGGGGGAGGAGGGGGGGGAGGAGGTGTAAGTATTGAACTATATGTGTTGTTTGGTTTGTTTGGTTGTTTCATGTTTTTTGGGGGGGAGGGGGGTGGGGTTCTGGCCTCCGTGTTTGATTTCTTTGTTTTGTGTTGCTGTTCCTTCGGTTTTTGGGGTGTTCAGGCCCCGCCGTCGCCGCCCTTCCCCATGCACGACGTCTAATCGCGGGCTTGCGCCACTCGCCGTTTGGGCTGACATTTGCCCGCGCGCATCGGCTTGTATCTCTTGCGGCCCGCCCGCTCGCTGCCATGGCGTACGACTTTGCATTGGTGCCAGATGTTCGCCCAGGCGAGCCTGTGCACCCAGATTCGGTTTGGTGGAAACTGAGGGGAGGACTGGCCGTTCTAATTGCATCGCTGTCAGAGCCCCCGCAACTTCGGGGGCGCCCCGCGCGGGGAATTCATCCTCGCCCCGCGTCTGTTTTGGCGAGCCCTTCCCCCCTATGGCCGCCTGCACATCTCAGTCGACGGGTGGCCGATCTTCAAGCACTTCAAAGAAAACCCTCGTTCAATTCATCGCGACGGGGTTCGCGGGCCCGCTCTGGTTGCCATCCGACCCGAACCTGCTCCCTATTATCATTCGCTCTTACAAAGGGGTTGGGAGTGGCGGTGGATTGCATCGGGCATGATCGCCCTGTGCCCTACGCAGCGTCTGATCGCGTGCTCTGTGAATGACCGATCGAGTTGTTGTAGGACGTAGGCCGACCGACCGATTTTCCTGAGGTCGTTGACCGATCGGCCGATCCAGAATTGGACTTCCACTGGCATCCAGACCCTGGGTTCCTTACCCAATGTGTCCTTATCCTGCGCTCTCGCTTTAGCGAAAGTGGCTCGATGCGGCATGCGCGCGCGGGTGCTAGGCTCGCGTGGCCGACCTTGTCTTCATCACTGAGAACAGCGCTGCCTGGGCCGAAACTTTTGGTTGGGCTACTACGTGGAAGTGCATGGAGAGAAATGCGCAAGCATCGTTGGGCTTGCCTCCTCACCGCCACATGGTGTTCATCACGGGCAACCCGATTCCGTGCATGCCCAACAACCGTGTGCGCGTCGGGCCGTCCTTCGGGTTCCGTCCGTGAGCGGCGATAGGTTGGGGCGATGGACGTAACTCCGCCGGTGCGCTCAACTGTTTTTGGTCTAGCAATGCGGAAGAAGACTCTGCGAGCGCAAACGGAAAAATGATGGCGCATGTTCACATTTTTCTCTCTCTCTCTCTCCCCTCTCGCGCGCGCCATTCTCTCTGCAACGGCACTTGCAGCCGGCATGGCCATGCCCACTGTTATTTCAACGAGCCAGCAAAGAGACTCTACCATGCGTTGCACCGCAGGCGTTTTTGCTCCAAAGCGAATCGTCGAACATCCTCGCCCAGCGCTCGCTGGTCCAGCTGCGCGCCCCGCATGGCCGTTTACGAGGATCGGGCCGCCTTTCAGTCCGCGGCGAAGGAGATCAAGGGGCGTGCCCGCAGCGAGTTCTTGGAGAGCGTCAGGTTCGCGTCGGTCCAGAGCGCCTCCCGCCTCCCCGACGCCGAGGAGTGCCGCGCGCTCGTCTTCGCCCAGGCAGTGGGGCTGGCCCCGAAGGAGTGCACCTGCCGGAGGAGGAGGAGGAGGAGGAGCCTACAGCATTTGCGTCAACGCAGAAAACGATCGTGCGGGCAGGCCTTCGCTGGCGCGGCCCCGGGTACGAGGGCGGGCGCTGGACTGGCAATGGCGACAAGGCTTCAGCAGGTAAATTCACGTTCTTCCAGGGTATACGGCAGGTTCGCGTCGTGCCGACCCCAGCGTTGGTTTTTGACACCGCAGGGATCGTTCAACCTTGAACGATCGGTTGACAGGCTCGGATGGGACCATAAGGGACCCCAGGAACACACAAAAACATGAAAACACGTGAAAATACATAAAAACAAGAAATCCTCCAAACATGAAAATACATGAATATATATATATATATATATATATACATATATACATATATATACATATATATATATATATATTATATATATAGATATACAAATATATATATATATATATATATATATATATAACATTGAAGACGTGAAATTACATAAAAACAAGAAATTACAACATTGAAACACACAGAAAACACGAAACATACATGAACAGCATACAGCATGGACACATAAAGAAACTTGAATGTGATAAAAGAGCAATTCCGAACTTAAAAAAAAACAAAAACATCGGCAAACTAAAAAAAAACATTGACCATACACATTTCACGGAAGATGAAAACATAGAAGACGAGAAAAAGAAAACCACGTACTTCACGGCAGATGGAAAACCACATGCAAACAATCAATGTATACGCTTATTGTGGACTACACACCACGACACACACACATAAATATACACACACGTGCACTTCGGACAATACGTTTCATGATTTCTCGCGATGTGTTTACACATATGTGTGCACGTGTAGGTATACCTGTGTATTTCTGCGTGCATGATCATACGTATGTGCGTCGCAGAACATCTGCACATATGAATGCACATGTCAGCCTACATGGGCCCAGCGGCAGGGACCGACAGATTCTGAATAAATATAACCCGGGCCCCCCTCGCATCCTGCAATGGCCGAGTGGGCGGGGGCCGGCAAGGATGCAGGCCCGTTTTTTTTTTTTCTCCTCCAAGCTGCTGTCGTTCAAAAGACTTCACCCCGTCCGTCGCGCACCAGCGGCGCCGCGGCCGCGCGGCCCCCGCCGCGCACGCGCCCCCGTGCCCATGGTTCTCCATCGGCGCGCCTGCGTTGCGAACGGATTGCCTCGAGTGCGTTCCCAGCAAGCCCCCCAGGGGCCAGAAAAGGGCAATATGCCCCTCGCTCTCTGCCCCCGCCTTCGCCAGCCCTCGAGGGCCCCCTCGGGAACGGGCCGAAGGGAGCATCAGTGGGGGGTTCTATAACCCCTTTCGGGCCCCAGGAGGCTTGGACGGCCGCGCCGCCGAAGGAGGCCTAGGCGGGGCCCGCCTCAGCCTGGCCCGCGGCGGGCGCCTTCTTGGGCGAGATCACCTCCCCATCCACCGTCGGGAAATCGCCATTGGACAGGTCGGCCAGCGCAGAGGCAAGGTCATCCCCGAGCGTGAAACCCTTCCTCGTGGCAGCCAGGTCCTTCGCGAACGACTTGGCCGCGGCCTTGCGCTGCACCACGTTGGCGATGCCGGGCAGCCTCCTGACCAGGTGGTGCAACGCAAACGTGAGGTCCGTCACCTCCGTGGCCGCATCCACGACGTCCTCCCAATCCTTGAGCAGCATTGCCTGCTTCTCAAAGGCCAGGCCGTTGCCGTCCAACGACAGCGTGCGCAGCATGGCCCGCCACTTCTGCAGGAGGACCACTCCGTTGGACCGAGGCTTGTAGTTCGGGTCGTTGAGGAGCCCCTGGCGCGTGGCCTGGTGCTCCTTTGACAGAATGGCCGGCTTGGCCAACATGATGCCATCGATCGCCATGCCCTTGATCACGGCGGCCAGCTCCTCTGTGTCACCGACCCAGGCATCAATGATCGACTTCACCTCCATGCCCAACGTGTTCGGCGACTCGGCGGCGCTGGAGCCGTCAAACTCGATGTCCAAGCAGGTCTTTCGAGTAGGTCCCATACAGCAAGGTCGAACAGATTTAGACTTGAGCAGCGCCACGCCCGGGGTCAGTGTGTCCCCTCTGCGTTGAGTTGCGCACCTGGGTGCTTAATTTAAAATTCAGCACCCAGGTGCGCGACTCAAGGAGACGGGGGGCGGGGACGTGTTCAAGTCCTTATCCTTTCGATGCTGCAGTAACCCACTCACTCTGACCTTCACCGTCTTCGTCAGCATGCCCTGCACCCCAGGGGGCCTCTCGAAGAGCTTCCCGATGCCGCCCCACGTGGCCTCGATGTCCGCGATCACGTCCCGCGCCAGCTTCAGGTACGCGCGCGTCTCCAAAACCATGGACACGCGCTCCTGGTTGATGGCCCTGTCCTTCCGATCTTTATTCAGCACCGACAGCTTCAATTTCGCGAATGACTTCGTCAACTTGCCCCAGGTATCGACGAATATCAGCTGCCTGTGCGCGGCTTCCATGCCTGGGAGTGACTTCAGAGTGGCGACGGTGCTTGGCATGTCGGCCTCGACGTCGTACTTGAGGTGGTCATTCAGCCTGTGCGTGTTGACCGGGTACACCATCGTGGAGTCGTGCAACGCGGCAGCGGAGAGACGCTTGATCTCATCGAGCATCGGCTTCGCAGCAGACGAACAAACTTCCCTGAGTTTGGCGTAGCCCGGGTCTACCTGGAGCTGTGCGAGGCTGGCGCAGGCGCGTTGCGTCATGGGGTCGAATCCGAAGTCGTCCAAACACTTCTTCCGGCTGGAGCCAGCGAACTCATGGAAGGCCACGAGGATCCCCCGCCCCTGCAAGGTATCCAATGCAAGTCCCAAGGCTGCAATCCTCGGCCACCCCCCCAATGCGGGACACAGAAGGTCAGCAACTCCCAATGGCCCACTGGGAGTTGCCTACCTTCTGTGTCCATCCCCCATTCGCAATGGGGGATGGACTCGCGGGCCGGGGGGCCGAGGTCGCAGTAAGGCTTGCGAGGATACCGTCGCGACCTTGCTCGCGCTGGTGCACCCGTCAGCGGACTCGTAGAAGTCGGCCCTCGCCTGCAGGAGCGCGCCCATGGCGGCGTAGTGGTCCAAGAAGGCCTGGTTCACCTCGCCATGCAAGCTGTGGATGCCCTGCGAGATCGCCAGCGACTCGAACGCACCCGAGAGGAGCTTCGCATTCTCCAACGTGTTCGGCTTGGCCCAGTCGTCTAAGATGGCGCCCAAGAAGTGCTCGGCTCTAGACTTGAAGAGCTCGCGAACTGACCCTTCCGTCAACGTCGCCTTCACAATCCGCTTGGCGCGGTCGTCGTTTTTCATCAGGCCCTCGAGCTCCTGCGGGTCAAAGCTCACGGTGAAAGAATCGCAGGCTTGCTTGCACGCGGCCTCCAGCGCCCCCAGCGTCTCCGTGGACTCCAGGGCGGCCGCGCAAAGCTTGAGCATGTCCCTGCCATTCTGGTGCGTCTTGAACGACTTCAAGACTGGCGACGAGGCGGTCAGCTTCATCATGGCGTCCAACTTCTCCCGCCGATCTGCCAAGTCTGGCGTCCACGTGACCTCGTCCCTTGCAATTCCGACGACGACGTCCAAGTAGTCCAGCTCCGTGCGGATGGCAGCTGGGAGCTCCTGGCGAACGCCAGACGCCTCGGAGAAGGCCGCGAGCACGACGACGGCCTCCTTCACGGTCGACTGCATGACCAAGGAGAGCACCTTCGTCGCGATGCACTCCAACAGGGACCCGTCGGCGTTGCCAGACTGCTGAAGCTCCTGCAAGATCGCCTTCCAGAACGCTGGCGGCGACGCGCCTTCGAGCTGCATCTTGTGCATGGCGTCGCGCATGAACTTGGGGAACGGGTTCGAGCACGGATGCTCGCCAGACTGCAACCACTCCACTTGGACCGTATACTTCTCTAGCGCTTTCTGCGACATCACCCCCTGGCTGGCCACCTCGCATAGGACCTTCTTCGCAACCAGGGCCTTCCGATGGATCATCTTCAACTCCGCCAGGCGGGCCATGTCCTCCTCGGTCTCCATGACCTCGTCGACGTCATCCAAATAATTCTGAATGTTGCGCTGCACGTTCTTCCATTCTGGCCCGAAGAACTTCGCCGCGGTCTTGGAGCCCTGCTCAGCGCTGGCCAAGTCCGCCAACTGCATGCGCAACAACGTCTCGCCATCCCGCGTCGGGCGGCCCCGCTTCTTGGTCGACTTCGGCTTGGCCACCTTTTTCACGCCAGCGTCAGCACCATCAGCAACGGCGGCGGCAGGCTGGGAGGCTCTGCGCGGCCTCTTGGGAGGCTCAGGTTTCCCGTCGTCACCATCGCCAAGGGCGCCGGCGTTGCCCGCGCGGCGGCTGGCCGCCTGAGCCCGCTTAGACGAGGGCTGTGGCGAAAAATCCTTCTCCTGCACCGCCACGATCTCCACCGCGCCTGCAGGCGCTCCGTCGACACGGGGCTGCTGCGCCGGAGACGGGCCCTGCCCCCCGGCCGACGTCGGCGGCGTCGCGAACTCCGACTGGATAATGTCGGAGGTGATGATGCCCTTCATGATGTCCTGGTTGAACTTGTTCTGAATATCGTCGGTCCCGTCCACGTGGGTCCTCGAGCGGCTTGCCTGCTTCGCGATCTCCTTTACCCGCTGCCACCGGGTGCTAGAGGGAGCCACCTTCACGAGCTTCGCCCCGCAAGGGCCGATGACGATCCTCTCCTGCGGCGGCTCTGGGTTCGTCTTGATGAACTCGGCGTGCTCGACGAACTCCTCCGGCGGCAAGACCCACTTGATCTTGTATATCTCCATCTCCTTGATCTGCCGCGGCGTTGGCCAAGGGAGGCGGTGCTGCATATCCCTGTCCCCGTTGTTGTCGTACACCTTGATGAGCTCTCCGATCAGCCAGTGGTAGAATGCTTTGTACTCTTCGTGCATGTCGTTGTCCTGGCTCAGTTGCGCCTTCCATTTCGCCAATCGAGCGCCACTTCGCATCGTGGACGCGGGCGCATATGTAGCACGTGGCGCCCTCGGTCTCCAAACACGTCTTTGCCTCGTTCCACTTGTACTGCCCCCAAATTTTACTGACCGACGGGTTGCAGGGGTCCTGGTCGGTGTCGCACTGCATGCAGGCCGTGCACTTGGCACCACGGCGCATGGCTTTCGTTTTCTGCTCGTAACTCCAAGTCTTGGTGCGCTTCTTCGCCTCTGCCAGCGCCATGGGCGGCTCCTCGACGGCGCCCCCGTCGCTGAGCCTGGAGGTCGCCGACTTCCTGCGCCGCGAGTGCGTCGGCGCCTCCGCGGGCGTCTCGCCCGCGACGCTGGCATCTGCAGCACAGCCGACTCCAAGCGCCAACCAATCCATCCCGTCGCAACGGGCCCAGCGACGCCAGCGATGGGCAAGCGCAGCTGAAGCACAGGCTTGCGAGCCACAAAGGCTATGGCCATGGACCATGGAGCAAGGGATGAGGAGGATGAGGAGGAGGAAGAGGAGGAGGAAGCAGAACTCTACAGAATGGAAGAGCAGGAAGAGCCTCGCAGGAAGTCTACGGAAGGAGAAGAGGAAGGAAAGTAGGAGGAGGAAGCAGGAGTCTACGGAAGGAGGGAGGAAGCACGAGGAGCAGGAAGCAGGAAGAAGACGATGAGCCTCGCAACGCTGGTTGCGCCGACGTGGGTGGAGTGAAAACCTCCGCCCCCTCCCCCTCCTCCCTCAGCCCCCCCCCCCCTCTCTGAGTGGAAAGTCGCGCTGGCCCCCCTCCCTCCCTCCCCCCGTCCGCCCCCTAGCATTAGGAGGGCGCGTCTCCCCCTCGTCCACTCCGCGACTGTCGAGGATGTCAATGGGCCGAGCTTCCTGCCAGAGCGCCCCGTGGAGGAGGAGGGCGAGGGGGAGGGGGAGGAGGAGGAAGAGGAATTGGAGGAATGATGACGATGATGATGACGATGATGGTGATGATGATGCTGATGATGATGATGATGGTGGTGGTGATAAGGAACATGACGATGATGATGATTGTGATCATGATGATGGCGATGATTGCGATGATGGTGTTTTGTTTGTTTTGTGTGTTTGTGGTTTTTCTTTTTCCGGCGGAGACGACCCAGCGAGTTTTCGTGGGGGAGTGTTTGAAACCGTGGTTCCCCAAAAGGAGCACGTGCATTCCGATAACACAACAAAGCCTGTCATTCCTGAAAAGCAGGCTTCTTGTACTATCGGAATGCAAGCTTTCCCGAGGGGGAATTCTCAATCGAACGGCTCGTGCGTGAAAACGCGGGCCCCCCTGGGGGTGCCGCAAACGATGCAGCCACGAACGCGACACTAAGATGCTGGTGGTGACGATGAAGATGATGATGATGATGATGATGATGATGATGATGATGATGATGACGATGATGATGGCGCTGGCGATGATGTGATGACGATTGACCTCCGGCCGTAGCGCGCGTTTGGCTTTGACGGCATGCATCCCGACACCCCTGCGGGTCCAAGGCGCGACTCCGACAGACGCGCCATCATATCACTGACGCACTGGCTCTGTTAACAACGCGGCCGCAACTCGTGCCGGAGCAAGACCCACAAGGCGCAAAAAGCAAAAAGCGGCTGCACGCCGACGTAGTCTCCCGCGCTACTACAGACTATGTGCTACACCCTGTGCCTGGGCGAGTCTGGATCAGTCGCTGTCGGACTCAAAGCTGTCGGATGCCGGGCAACTCTCCGGCACCGCCTGAGGCGCGCTGGACTCGCGGGCGACCGCCTGGGCCCTCAGGGCGCGGTAGGGCAAGGCCCCGAAAGCGGCAATGGCGATGGGGCAAAACGAACCCGCGTTCCACATGTTGCCGGCCATATCGCGCAGCAGCTCGTGCGTGATGGGCAGCTCCCCGCGGGTCGCGAAGGGGTTCTTGCCCTTCCACATCGGGATGTCCCAGCCCTGGAACGACATCATCTCCAGCGCGTGGACGTGCCGCAACGCCGAGTCGCCACTGCTGGAGTCCCTGAAGCGGCAGACGATCCTGCTCTGCGCCGTCAAGGTCGGGACGTGTTGCTTCCAAGGATTCACTGTCGATTTCGTCGCTGGGTCCCACTTGAACAAGCGCTCGAAGGTGTGGTTCGCGTCCAGGAAGGAAAACTCCTCGTCCCCCAGCGGGTGCAACTTGTCCGCAGCAAAGGTCACCTCGCTCTCGCGCTGGCGGAACCCTTCCAGAGAGGCGTCTGACGGCGGCCACTCGAGGCCCAGACGCGGGAACGCGTCAGAATGCACGTCACCCCATTCGCAATCTTTCTTGCCTCTCTTAGCAACCGATGATGCGGCAATCGGCGCCTCATCTGTCCAAGCCTTCAGCGTCGACTCAGGGATCAAAAAATCTGCAACTGGCCACTGCGGCCCATTCCTCATCGACTCCAACAGGTCGTGGAACTTGTGCAGGTGCGGCATGGCGAGGTCGGCGGGGACGTTGAAGATGACGACCCAGAGCCTCCAGCGATCGATCGGCATTCCGCACATCCTCGGGTTGTGCGAGATCACGATCGCGGTGAAGCCCTCTTTCTCGAAGGATTCCTTGATGTAGTCTGCGTCGGAAGTGCTGAGGCCGTCTGGCCCGACCTCCTCCTGAGCGAGCTCCACCACGCACTCGAGGAAGCTGACGGCAGCCCTGGAGCGAACGATCAGGTGCTTGATAGCCTCGAACGTTTCGCCTCAGGACGCCACAATTGGAATGTTTACGAATGTTGGAGCGTGCGGGGGAGGGGGTAGATATGTTGATATATTACAACATCCTCCTCCTCATCTTTCTCCTCCTCCTCCTCCTCCTCCTCCCTCCCTCTCCTCCTCCTCCTCCTCCTCCTCCTCCTCCTCCTCCTCCCCCATGTTTCACCGCGAGCCTGTCGAACCAACTTGGCCACGAACGCACCCGACGTTCGACGCCCTGTGCCGGTTCATCTTCGAGCGGGACGCGCAACTGAAGCCGGCGCCCGTCACGCTGCCGAAGGGGATTGTGACATACTCCCCCGTCATCGTGTTGAGGACCAAATTCTTCTTGAACTCGACGACGTCTTGCAAGAGCACTTGCGGGCAAGCGTGCTCCCGCAAGAAGACCCGCTTCGCCGGCGCGCTCTCGGCGCCGACGACCTGGGTGACCAACGTGACGGCCCCGCCGAACGTGTTCGACCAGTGGGAGAGGAGCTCCTGAAGCCAGCGAACCCAAGCGTCCGTGCCAGAGCAGCCGCTCTGCGAAAGCAGCTCCTGCCCAACAGCTATCTCTGCAGTGGACTCCCGCATGTTCTCCGCCCACTCGGACAACAACGCCGTTGGGATGCGGCTGTGCCACTCCGCAATCGCTCTGCGGACGAAGGGCACCGCGCCGAAGAGGGTCGGCGCGTCGCCGTCGAAGGCGCCGTCCTCTTCCAGAAAACCATTACTATTTTCATGAAACGCGATTAAATGATTTTCATGATTTTATGTTGCGAATTGCTAACTCCCGGGGAACTCCCGGGGCAGATCGACGATCTGCGATAGGGTCGCCACATCCGCGAAATCTCAACTCCCGGGGAACTCCCGGACCAGGGGCCAACATAAAAACATAGAAATAAAACAGCGCCCCAAAACCTCGACGCAAAATAAAGCGCTCGGCTCCCTGCCCAAAACAATCACCAAAGGCGTTTCATTGACTCTGACTTCTCGTGAAGACGTTTCAAGGCTTTAATCTGGCGAATCCTGATGATGTTGCTGCTGCTGCTGCTGCTGCTGAGAAGGAGGAGGAAGGAGGGGGAGGAGGGGGAGGAGAGGGAGGAGGAGTAGGAGGAGGAGGATAAAGATGAGGAGGAGGGGGGGGCAACGGAGAGGAGAGGAGAGGGGGGGGAGAGGAGGGAGAGGAGAAGGAGAGTCCTGGCCCGAGTCCTGGGCACGCTGATCCGCGGCGCCTGGCGAGCCTAGAGACTCGCCCACGGTGCCCGGCATCCCGGCCTCGCCGGACAGAAACTCCATCGGTGTTGGGCCTGTCTGCCTGACTGCTCGGCTAGGCGGGGCTCGAGACAAGAGGCTTCGGCGCAGTCGTCGTCGTCAACGGTGCCGGCGCCTGAGAGCGGCGACGCGGGCAAAGGGGCCCGCGCCCTCGACGCAGCCGAAACCCTCGGAGCCAGCGCCCTCGACCGCACCCTGAGGATGAGCAATGCAAGAGGGGTGCGAGAGGGGCCCCCTGCCCATCGGCGCCAACCAGCGCGGGTTCGGCGATTTCGCCGACTGAAGCGCGCGGGCGAAGCGGGGGGGGACTCGATATCATTTCCGCTCCGCCTCCCCCCCCCCCCCCGTCACCATTACCCCCGTCCTCTTGTCTCGTATTACTTGATTAAGTTTCAGAATCTATCCTGCAATGCGTCTGCCTAGCCGTGGCCGTTTTGCCCCCCCCCCCCTGTTTAAAACAAGACCTGCATCTGTTTGTTAATGACCTTCTCGGGGCAAACACGTTGATTGACGTGCTGTGTGTTTTGTTTTGCAGGTTTGCGAGATGGCGAAGACGTCTCGGGCTTAGGGTTAAGGCCCCAAGGTTGGGGGTGCAAAGGTGGTTCGGGCGAGGGCACCGCTACCCGAACACTGTTGTTTTGTCACGCGGGCGGCCAACCCCAAGGCAGCACGCAATCAAAACAAACAAATAGAAACGAACGATGCCACTCGTGCTGCCCCGAGGCAGCGCGAGTTACAAGTATGAACGACAGGCCATGCATCATGCGCACTCAATCTATGACAATCACCTCGGCCGAGCGAGCAGTCTCCACACGTTGCCTGGATGCTGTGCTCGATGACTTAGTGCCCAACTTCGGGAGCCATACGTTGCAAGGATGAAGCAATGATGTTTTTTTTCTCTTTGGTATCTGCCTCAAATACGCCTTGAACTCATCTGCGTGGGCCTTATCCCTCTGGTCAGTCTCGAATGCATTGCCACCGTCGTCGAATAGATCTTCGCCCACGGGAATGGGAATGAACTGGCCTGGCTGCCACCCGGACCTGGCTCTCTTCGAAGGTGGCGGCGTTTGTATGACCGCATGCCCCGCATCATCCTCGAAAAGGCCCCCCCTGGTCGACATCGGCGGACATCGGAGCGCCCCGCCGACCGATCAGAAACAGTTGGCGATGCGTTCGAGCCGAGATGGGAACACACGGGGCCAAGGTGATGGCAGTGATGGATCATCAGGGGTCAGAACGAGCGCTCGACCTCGTCATTTTCCGTTGGGTCCCCCAAGGGCCCAAGGGGGCCATCGTCGCCACGGCTGGATCCGCGTCGAGTTGTTCATCAGTGATTCATCAGAGCGCACCCCGCCGTCGCGCCGCGTTTCAGGGTCGTGTTGGCGGGCCCTCTCGGAGTCCTCTCGGGGCCATCTCGAGGCGCTCTTGGAGCCCCATTCGGGCCCTGAAGGCCGTCTTGGAATAAGCCCAAGGGGGCCGATCTGGCCCCGCCCCAAGCGTCCGAAGAGGCCCCCCCCCAAAAAAAAGAGGCCCGAATGCCAGCAACAATGTTTTTCTTCCATTCATTCAACGCAAAGGAATGAAGGCGCATCCCACGCCGTGTTGTTTTTCACGGCTCACGGCGAGAACTTCGGCTCACCACCCATGTCCAGCAGCGGATTCTCCGCGCGCTCCGCTCGTAAAATCCGATGAGCGAGGTCGAGCTCATCAGGGCTGAGCTCGGGCAATCGGTCCACGAATATCTTGCGTCCAGCCACTCGCTCCTCGTGGGCCGCCTCCTGTCGCAACCTCTCCTTCTCTGCAGGAATGTGCATGTGTAACTGTAGCCATGCCATGAGCAAGCCGAGAGGTCGACCACTGCTGCGGTGTTTGGTAATGATTGTCCTATCGCACTTGCACTTGAATCCGACGTGCGAATGCCTGCTGCAATGAGCGTTGAGCTTGCCAAGCAAAGGGTTGAAATGGATGGCCCCCCCTGGCACGCTCAAGACCTCCCATCCGCCCACAAGGACCTTCGCCTTGGCCGCAGCCTTTGGCTCTGGTGCCGGGGCCGGGGGCGGTTCACCATCGGGCGGAGCGCCATCAGGTGGAAGTGCATCAGCTGCCCCATCAGGTGGAACTGCAGCAGCTGGTCCATCAGGTAGAACTTCATCCAGTGGAACTTCAGCAGGCGGGGCGCCACCAGGTGGAGGCCCATCTGGAACGCCCTCAGGTGGAACTGCATCAGCTGCCCCATCAGGTGGAACTGCAGCAGCTGGTCCATCAGGTAGAACTTCACCCAGTGGAACTCCAGCAGGCGGGGCGCCACCAGGTGGAGGCCCATCTGGAACGCCCTCAGGTGGAACTGCGTCAGCTGATCCATCAGGTGGAACTTCACCATCGCCAGGTGGAACTCCAGCAGGCGGGGCACCTGGACCATCAAGTGGAAGCCCATCAGGTGGAAGTGAATCGGCTGCTCCATCAGGTGGAACTGCTGCGGCAACTCCATCAGGTTTAGCCCCAGGCGGAACGCCGACCTTGGGCTTGGCAGCTGCGACCTTTTGTTTTTTTGCGATATGCTCGACTGCAGCAGCCCGCTTCCGTTTGCCCGCCAGTCCTTTCTTCCTCCTCCCACGGCGCGCCATCAACTTTTTCTTCTGCTGCAGCAAGGAGTCTATGGCGCCGATCTCCCCGTCGTAGTCGGAGTCCGGAGTCGCGTTGGGGTCCAAGTTTTTTTTGCCCTTGTGCGAGGCCAAGTACTCTGCCAAGAACTCGGCCTCATACGCCTGCATCGCATCGTCGGCATCCGCCTCGTCGGCGCCCACCGCCGGCGGCCGCAACTGTCGGGCCCAGGATGCGTAGGCAGCGAAGCCAAACCCACCCCCCCGCCCCCGCCGCCCCCCAACCCCCAACCCTGCCCAGGACGCACAGGAACATCCAGCGAGCACGAGGAACCGAATAACGCGAGGGTACCCTCCCCGAACCGACCTCGATCGGATACCTCGGTCCCATTTCCTCTCTCGGACGGAGAAAATGGAGGGGGGCTGGGGAGAGGGCGGGGAGATAGATGCTTCGCTGCGTACTTTCCCGCGCTGCAACCTTGACAGTCCTGCGTCTCGCAGGCCGGCGTGGAAGAGCCGCGCACACGTCCTCGATGCGGTGGCCCTCCGGCCACTTCACAGCATCACCATCCTCGAAGACGATCAGCGACACTTCGATCGGCGCCCCCCCAGACCAGAGCTGGCGCAGAAAGGCTGGGCCCATCATGTAGCCCTCGCAATGCTCGCCGAAGTCGATCCTGAACGGCGCGAACTCCAGCTCAGTGCGCACGACTCTGGCCAGCACCACGCCGTGTTCGCCCTCGGAGAACATCTTCACCGCATGCAAGACCACGGGGCCTCTGTCCGAATAGAGGGCCTCCACTGCGACCAGCGCGCCAGACTCCTCCCTGAACAAATTCAGCGCCAACTCGCTGTTCGCGCGAACGACGTCGGGCGTCAGGTCTTGACGACAGACGCCCGGGTGCATCAGGCCGCAGGGGACATGAACTTTGAACTTCTTATTCGTCGGTATGGTGTCGTTCTCCTTGAGCCGCGCGAAGGTATCCGCCGAGAACTGCGATCGGACCTGCGACAGGCGTTCGGTCAATCCACCGAGCATTCCTGGATGAGACGGGGCAGCCCGTTCGCACTCGGCCTGGATGACGTCTTCTCGCAAGAGGGTGTCCACCGACGAGCAGTTCCATAAGTTGGTGCCGATCTTCTCAGAATACAAAACAGCGAGGTCGTGCTTCTCCTCGGGCTGCTCCCCGAGAACGGCCAAGCGAACCTTCAGGTCGTCGCACTCCTTCCTGAGGCGCTCGAGCCGACGCCTGTGCGCTTCACGATCTCCCAGTCTGCGCTGGCCGAGGCGCAAGCGCTCTGCCTTCATCTTCTTGTTCGCCCACATGACGAAGTCCCCCGCCGCGCGCTGGCGACGCGAGCGGTCGACCTCGCGGCGCCGCCGCCTTGCGGCGCAGATGGGGGCGCCGGCTGCCAACAAGTTGCGCCTGTAACACACGTTGATGTCGTTCCCCCCTGCGGCGCGATGAGCTGCTTGAATTAACGACAAGAAGCCAGCGCTCACCACGCGGTCAGCATGACTGCGAAGAGGACTGGCACGCCGAACGGTTGAAAGCAACCTCTCTGTGCACATGTTCGTCAACCGCGCAGTGGCCGCCCAACTTCGTATAGCAGCCCTGAGCCCAACGTGCCGCAGGAAGCCATCCGCCGTGCCCCCAATCGCCCGAGCCTTCTTCGTAAAGTGATCGTCGAGGCAACACTCGCACTTGTGATACAGCGCATCGGTCTCTCGCCTCGTCGTCTCGCGGTCGCCCTGGGTGCGCAAGATGAGCCGATACGGGTACTCCCCAAGGACGGAATATATGCAACGCCATACCTGCCCAGCCAAAGCAAGGGACACCGATGCAATGCATCGCATGCAAATGTGGACGTAGTCAAGGCCCCTGGGTTCGAAATGCCTGAGGATGACAGCCACGTGCGAGTCGAGCGGGTTCTCGAGGATGGAGTGGTACTCGCGCAGACACTTCAATATCGGGTTGTTCTCGTTAAAAAGAGTGAGCAGCAACGGGGTGGCCTTGCTCTCGTCAGTGTCGCTGCTGTTCTCCTCCACGTGCTGCATCGTCTGCAATAGGCCGTCCACGAACGCTGTGAGAACAGTGGTAACAGCTGACTTCACAGGTGTGTCTGGGGCATTCAGCCAAAGAGTCGCCCGGAAAGACTTGGACTTGATGATCTTGTGGTAGTCCTCGCTGTGGCCGAGATCGCGGGGCACCTCTTTCTCCCCGAAAGCTTTCCTCCACGCCCGTGGTAAAATATTGAAGAACAGAATCCCGTACGTCTGAACTGCAAGCGCACGCCCGCACGTGTGCCACCTCCCAGCTGCCGGAATGACATTCAGCATGCCGCCGAAGATGCCCACTTGAACGAAAGCCGCCACCACGTTGGACACTGCCGCGTCCCGGGAGAACACGCCTGACTCGTCCAAGCAGCACCCCTGGCACCAGCGCGAACACCTCGGACACCGAGGATCGCCGTTTGCAATCGCCAGGAAACCAGGTATGTTCTCCAGGACAGTGCATCCACGTTTACCTTCGTGGTCTTCGCGTCGACTCCTGACGAAATCGACGTCCCTGCGCAAAGTCATGTTGACGATGTTCCGGGAGTGCTCAACAAATTCGGCGGGGGGGGCGCCTGGGTGGACCAATAACTCCTCATCTACCAACTCACGTAACGCTCTAAGTAACATCTCGCGGCGCCCTTGCACCCGCTTCACAGTCTCCACGGCGTGGACGTGGCCCACGAGCTTGTCCTCTTTCACGGTCTTGGTGCAGATGCCGTGCAATTTATGGCCAACGCATCCCGAGAACAGGTCGTAGAGGATAGTCGGATTGTCTTTGAATGCGTCGGCCGTGGCAGCCTTCACCCGCTTATTCACATTGCAATTGTCTGGAACGTCGTCGACAATCAAAACCTCGGCATACTCAGACATCGCCTTGATGCCAGCAATGTCGAAAGAAGAGCTGTAAGCCATTTCCACTGCATCGTAAACAGTCGTAGCACGGCCGTCGGCCAGCAGCATCGGGGGGACAATGAATTTCTGCGGTTCGCTCGTGCTGCTAGCCTCTTCCCATCCTTCTGCTTGCGCGTCCGCGCGAAACTGAATGCTGTTGACAACCGCGCTCTGGCCGAAGACTTGGGTGACTCCCATTGAAGGCGAACTCCGCGGGTGCTCTGCTTTGTACTGCTCGTACGACTGCGTCGTCCAATACCCTTGTTTGTCAGGTGTCGCCTCGACGTACTTCAGATATCGAGCTGAGCGAATCAAGGAAGATTGATGTGCGCCGAACTTCACAAGCATCGGAGTCCCGTCGTGGTACCGGTGGATAGATCCAGCAAACTTATGCTCCAGCGTAGTTTCCCTCTTGAGGTCAGAAGAAAAATATGCTAGCCCCTGCATCAAAGAGCCGCTTCGCCAGAGCTGCAACTGACTGTAATGTGCACAACCTTCGACGAGAACCATCGATCTGCACGGCGCCAGTGGCGTTGACTCCCCCGCCCAGCTCATCCACAGCTTTACGAATCATCGACCCCACTAGCCATGTGTTTCCATGTTTCCACACCTTCTCCCGTTCACCATCAATATGCACCGTATCGCCCGCTCGCAGCACACGGGTGTTCCAAGCGTCAACAATAGCACCAAATTTGGATGTCTGTTCCGGCATATCTATATCTGCACCAACTGCGTCCACAGAGCCAGGGCCACCAATCCCCAGGCGGCCGAGGACCTCGTCGCGCTGTCGTTCATCTCGGATACCAGGCCCAACATCACCGACCGTGCTGGCGTCGCCCAAGATGTCGCGCACGAGCTCGCCATCACTGGCCCCAGGCTCGCCTGCGCGGATGTCCACGCAACCCGTCTCTCCCAATACCTCACAGAGAAACGATGGCGCAGCAAGAGCTGGCGACGCAGAAACTGGGATGGCGACTATCTGGTCTGGCGCCCCAACATCTGGAGAAAAAAGGCTGGCATCGACATCGTCGTCGGAGATTTGGCCCGGCGCCAGTAGCTCGGCAAACATGCGTTGCCCAAATGCATGCTCGAGTCAGCAAAAAACTACTGATGAATACGGGCCAGGTCCAGACCTCCTCGTCCGAGGTCATCCTCCTCCTGCCCCTCCTCCTCCTCCCTTTAAAGGAAATCATGAAAACAACCCTGAAGTGTCTAAACAGCAAAATAAACAAACATCTCAAGAACCCAAACGTAGGGGCGTTCATTCGAAAACCCACGCGCACGCGCGACGCGCAACCACCAAACCTTGTTTCCAGATTCCCCGCGGGAATCTGGAAACACTTCCTCCTCAGTCCTCCTCTTCCTAAGCCTCCCTGCCCGAACATGCTGTTACAAACCGACACGCTGAAACATATAGATCTGGCGTGATTAAGTTAAAGTATTGCGCACCTTCCTGCTTTATATATCATAGCATGGTCTGGGAATCGTTTCCCACGATCCCTGGGAACTTGACGCCACGATCCTTCCGACAAGTCTACATCCCCCTCCTCTTCCTCTCCCTCCTCCTCCTCTTCCTGCCCCTCCCCCTCCTCCTGCCCGTCCTCCCCCCGCGACACCGACGACGACGACGAGGGCGACAGCGACGACGGCGGCGGCGCGGGCACGAGGAAACTCGAGATTTGTTCGCCATGTTAGGCCTCTGGGGGCCCGCTTCGGGCCCCGAGGATCGCTAGGAATCGATCCGGGATGACAAATTGCCCCTTGGAAAGTCCACGGGGGCGATTTTGAGCGAACGTTGGTCGGGCGCCGACGACGCGACGACGACGACGACGACGACGGCGACTGCGACGGCGGCGACGGGGCGCGTGGTTGCCAGGAATCGATCCGGGATGAAACATTTGCCCCTGGGAGGGTCCCCAGGACGGAGTCTGAGCGAACGTTGGTCGGACGACGACGAAAACGACGACGACGACGGAGCGGGATCGAAGCTGGCCGACGGCGGCGTCGGGGGCGCCCTACCTGGCGGGCACGGGCGGGGGAAGGCGACGACGACGGCGACGGCGGCGGCAGAGGCGACAGCGGCAGGGGGGAGGAGGAAAGGAAGGACGTCTCCGATAACCGATGGCGTACGTGTGATATATATATATATATATATATATATATATATATATATATATATATTATATATATATATATACACACAATATACACACACATATATACATATATATATATATATATATACTACATATATATATACATGTATATATGTACATATGTATATATATATGTATATATATTATAATATATATATATATGTATTATATATAGGGGCAATTGTTTGTTATTGATGGGGGCATTTGTTTGTATTTTTATGTGTTCTTGTTTTTGCGATGTAATTGTTTGTAGTTTCATGTTTTCTTGTTCTGGAATTTCTTGCTGGGGATCACCCAACAGCATGCTTATGGTCCCATCCGAGCCCGTCAAACGATCGGCCGCTGCCGCAACGTCCGATCGTTCAAGATCGATCGATTCTGGGTCGCCGGCGGCGTTCAACCTTGAACGTCCGCGCTGGGGTCGCCGCTGGTCGACACGACGCAAACCTACCGTACGCATGTCCCACTGGATGGACAAGCTGGACTGCCTGGTCCTGTGGCTTGCAGACTGCAATCGCAAGACAATCGTGATGGAGCTGACCAACGTTGCCGGCAAGCGCGTCGACGGCCGGATTTCGAAACTCCGCGAGCCTTGCGACGACTGGTACGACGCGATTTCGCCGCAGGAGATCGAGGCATTGTTCAACGAGAAGGGGGCGTGCGTGGATAAAAAAATTAGCCTGGCGAAGGACCCAACCATATGCAGCTGCGAGTACCGCACGGATATGAGACGAAGGAGGGGGCACGCAAACTAGGCCCCTCTTCTCATAGGCACCGCGCCACTGGGGCCTTCGGTGGAGCTCCCTATGGGGCCACGAAACGTGTGAGGGGTGTGCCGACATGGGTGGTGGGGAGGCATGCGAACCCTGCCACTGGGGCCTTCGGTGGAGCTCCCTATGGGGCCACGAAACGTGTGAGGGGTGTGCCGAAATGGGTGGTGGGGAGGCACGCGACCCTGCCACTGGGGCCTTCGGTGGAGCTCCCTATGGGGCCACGAAACGTGTGAGGGGTGTGCCGAAATGGGTGGTGGGGAGGCATGCGAACCCTGCCACTGGGGCCTTCGGTGGAGCTCCCTATGGGGCCACGAAACGTGTGAGGGGTGTGCGAAATGGGTGGTGGGGAGCTGCCCTGGGGCCTTCGGTGGAGCTCCCTATGGGGCCACGAAACGTGTGAGGGGTGTGCCGAAATGGGTGGTGGGGAGGCATGCCCTGCCACTGGGGCCTTCGGTGGAGCTCCCTATGGGGCCACGAAACGTGTGAGGGGTGTGCCGAATGGGTGGTGGAAAGCATGCGAACCCTGCCACTGGGGCCTTCGGTGGAGCTCCCTATGGGGCCACGAAGCGTGTGAGGGGTGTGCCGAAATGGGTGGTGGGGAAGCATGCGAACCCTGCCACTGGGGCCTTCGGTGGAGCTCCCTATGGGGCCACGAAGCGTGTGAGGGGTGTGCCGAAATGGGTGGTGGGGAGCATGCGAACCCTGCCACTGGGGCTTCGGTGGAGCTCCTATGGGGCCACGAAACGTGTGAGGGGTGTGCCGGGGTGGTGGGGAGGCATGCGAACCCTGCCACTGGGGCCTTCGGTGGTGTGCCCCATGGGGCCACGAAACGCCGAAATGGGTGGTGGCGAACGCAACTGGGGCCTTCGGTGGAGCTCCCTATGGGGCCACGAAACGTGTGAGGGGTGTGCCGAAATGGGTGGTGGGGAGGCATGCGAACGCAGCCACTGGGGCCTTCGGTGGAGCTCCCTATGGGGCCACGAAACGTGTGAGGGGTGTGCCGACATGGGTGGTGGGGAGGCATGCGAACCCTGCCACTGGGGCCTTCGGTGGAGCTCCCTATGGGGCCACGAAACGTGTGAGGGGTGTGCCGAAATGGGTGGTGGGGAGGCATGCGAACCCTGCCACTGGGGCCTTCGGTGGAGCTCCCTATGGGGCCACGAAACGTGTGAGGGGTGTGCCGAAATGGGTGGTGGGGAGGCATGCGAACCGCTGCCACTGGGGCCTTCGGTGGAGCTCCCTATGGGGCCACGAAACGTGTGAGGGGTGTGCCGAGATGGGTGGTGGGGAGGCATGCGAACCCTGCCACTGGGGCCTTCGGTGGAGCTCCCTATGGGGCCACGAAACGTGTGAGGGGTGTGCCGAAATGGGTGGTGGGGAGGCATGCGAACCCTGCCACTGGGGCCTTCGGTGGAGCTCCCTATGGGGCCACGAAACGTGTGAGGGGTGTGCCGAAATGGGTGGTGGGGAGGCATGCGAACCCTGCCACTGGGGCCTTCGGTGGAGCTCCCTATGGGGCCACGAAACGTGTGAGGGGTGTGCCGAAATGGGTGGTGGGGAGGCATGCGAACCCTGCCACTGGGGCCTTCGGTGGAGCTCCCTATGGGGCCACGAAACGTGTGAGGGGTGTGCCGAAATGCGTGGTGGGGAGGCATGCGAACCCTGCCACTGGGGCCTTCGGTGGAGCTCCCTATGGGGCCACGAAACGTGTGAGGGGTGTGCCGGAATGGGTGGTGGGGAGGCATGCGAACCCTGCCACTGGGGCCTTCGGTGGAGCTCCCTATGGGGCCACGAAACGTGTGAGGGGTGTGCCGAAATGGGTGGTGGGGAGGCATGCGAACCCTGGAGAGAGGAGGGCGAGGAGGAGCAGGAGGAGGAGGAGAATGAGGAGGAACGCGGGGACCGTCTCTTCAAAACGAGGACCCAACACCACAGGATGGTTGGGAAAAACATCGGCCGCGCGCCCAGTGCCAATGAAATCCAGGGCCGCCCTTGGCAGGGAAGACAGCCGCCGGGCGCGCGCCAGCCGGCGAAGGGCACCGGCAAGAAGAGAAGCCCGTCGGCCGCAAGTTCGCGAAGCAGGTGAAGAAGGCCATCGGCAAGAGGGTACAGTCAGAGCGTTGACCCAAGGAACCCTAAATAAGGAACGAGGCCCCTTAGATCCACAAGTTGGACTTCGATTCCCCATCGAAAACCAAAGCAAAACCCAAGGCAAACTGTGAAGCAATCAAGGAACACGGAGCCCCTCCCCAACGAAAAGGGTTCCTTGTGCCGATGATGACAAAGAGGGTAACCGCGTGCCGATGATAAAAAAGGACCCCCTCCCCCTTTACACGTTAGAGTTGATTATCCACGGCCAAAAAGAGTTTGGTCAGGGGCGCGGGGCGCGGAGGCCGAACTTTTTTTATCACTGCGAAAGGTTCACCATCGAGGTTCACTTCTTTCTTAGGTTGAGATAGCACCTCGCGACCCCGAACTTTATTATCCCTGTGGGATTAATTTCCGTGGTGTAGGGTTGATCATTGCGGGAAAATCTTTCTTGAACAAGGGGAAGCCTGGTAAACTCATCAAGTGCGCCAGGCCGCAGAAAAATCAGCTGTGGATCCGGGGTGCCGCCCTCCAAGGGAAGTCGCGGACGCACTTCCTCTTCCGCATCTTGAAACACCCCGACGAGGCCGCCAATGGTAAACCGCGCGGCCACAAGGAGATGCTAGAGAACGTCGGCCTGCTCAACCTGCAGAAAGGGGACACGCTCGCGTCTGACAAACGGGCAACGACGATATCCGCCGTCAACGCGCTGCGCCGTTCCCGCGGCCTGACGGAGAAGCCACTCTGCCACGGCATGGTGAGTCATGACGCTGGCGAGATTGCCAATGCGAGGGGCTTTTCCACGAACGCAATTGAAGCGAAGTGGAGCGCACTGAAGCGGTGGGTGAGGAGCAACTATGGCGACAGGCTCCCTAGCCATTCGAACAGGGGCAGGTGGCGTTGCATCGTCAATGAGTTCCAGGCGAGGTGTTTGTTGAGCGTCGATCATTCGCTTTTCGAGGATCAGTCTTATTACGTTCCCCTTCTCGACGGTCTCAATTTTTTCGCAGTTGCGTGAATCAGCGCTACGAGCGATGGTGCCTATGACAGGCAGCGACTCGAGTGACGGAATGAGCGTCAGCCAGCGCTATCTCTCTACAGTTGAAGCTGCCCGCGCTGTATTATAAAACCGCAGTCTTGGACTTAGCGCTAGATCTGAAGTTGGAGAACAAGAACCTCACAGCGAGATCATGCAGCGTCCGCGTTGGTGCTGGAAGAAAAAAGCCTCTCTCCCTCTCTCTCACAGTCCGTCTGTCTCACTCATAATCTCCATTTCCATTTTTACAAAAACCTTGGAAACGCAGGCCCCAATTACGACGGTGGAGCTTCCGATACATGCCTCTTTGCCCATTTTGTGATGTGGGGCCTGGCTGAGGTGGGCGGCTCGTGCTGAGCTCGGCCGCCCCGTCTTTTTGCTTCTATGTCCACTATTGGCCCTGCCGCCCCAGAGGCCGGCCACCATCCTAATCCCAATCCCTTTGCCTCCAATTGCCTCCCGTGGCCTCCCGTTGCACCTCCCGCTCACTATCCCGATTCCTCAATCCTACTCCTTGTATCCATATTCCTGTATCCTCTTCCACACATCTACTCCCATCCCCATCCCGACCCCTATATCTATACCACCATATGCTTCATTTACTGTTCCCTGTTTATGAACACTCCCTCCCACACCCAACCGGCAGCCAACCCAGACCCTTGAGAGCACTCATAAGGAACCCGCCCCGCACCATCCCTGTAAAAACCAATGCACTTTAGCCTCAAAATTTGGAGCATGCGCGAGCGCCCCGCGACCAATTTGCAGTGGTTTTGACAGGGACGGCGGGGGTGCCCTTATATTGCTTGCTGCGCGCAAGCTCACCACCTTATCACCAAACCAATACAACATACACGTTACTCCCGAATCCGAAGCATGCGCGGGCGCCCCGCGACCACTTTCCATTGTTTTTGACAAGGACGGCGGGGGTGCCGGTACATTGCTTGCTGCGCGCAGAGCCACTCCTGGCACCAAACGGTGCAAACACACACTTTGCCTCCAAACCTGGAGCATGCGCGGCCGCCCCGCGACCACTTCTCAGTGGGTTCTGACAGGGACGTCGGGGGTGTCCTCATATTGCTCGCTGCGCGCAGGCAGACCACACCCCTCCAATTACAATACAGAGATGCACTCTTCCTCCAAATCTGGAGCCTGCGCGGGCGCCCTGCGACCACTTTGCATGGGTTTCTTTGAAGGGGCACTCGGATGCTACTTATGCGCCGGGAGGGTGGGTGGGAGTGAGCGAGACGGCGTGTGCCTGGTTGGCAGGAAGTGCCTTGTCCCTATCCCCGCCCATATCTCTACCCCTATCCCTATCTCGATGCCCCTACAAGGGCCTCCATCATGGTCCCCCATCGCATCATGACCCTCCATCATGGCCTCTATCGTATCGATGTAAAACTGTGTAGGGTCTTCTGCCGCAAGGGTGTCATTTAGCTTCCCCTTGTTTGAAACAATGAATGGGGGATGGGTTCGAAAAGAAGCCTGGCTCGGATGACACGGGCTTCTACATAGCATGAGCGAAACTACAATTTAAAAGAAACACAAGTGGTACGCGAAGGGGCGGGCGTTCAGCCCGGCCTCTGCGTGGTGTGGTGTTCAGTCTGGCCTTCAGATGGGGTGGAACCGGACCGTCTTCAGCCAGGGAAGTATATGTGAAGCATAATGTTGGGTGCGACCTCTGAGGTGCAATCTACGTGGTCCCATTGAAAGCCCCAACAATGATTCCAGCAGTACGGTTTCGTGAGAACCGCCCAGAGCGTGATCTTCGCAAAGACAAGCTTACTCGAGACTCGGCGAGACCATAGCATTGTCGCAGGTTCTCGAGGGACCCTGTCGAGACAAAGCCTCAGACGAGAACAACCTGGCATATCCCGTTGGATGCGCAGCATCGTTTACGGTGAGCCTGTTGGAACCCTGTTGGCACGCGGAGTAGACAAGCAATCGATCCTTTGTGTAAGCACTGCCGGTGGACAAACAATCGCGCAAACGAACATGAACACCAGTGGCTTCGGAGCAGACTGCGAGCGAGTGAGCCAGAGGGGGGTGGCTGGCGGGGAGGCACCGAGGAGAGCTTCGAGGCGCTTCCCCGGATGCCGAGGATCACCTGGGCAAACGGGACCCGCGGGCGATCCTCTGGCTACTGCTGCTTGACCTCTACCTCATACTCGTCCTCCCGCTCTGTGCCCTCCGCTCAAAAAAGAAGCGTGGTAGAACTGGGTCACGGCTAGTAGGCTGGACCAAGCGTTTTCGGTGGATGTCTCGGCAACTCCGCTGTTCTTCTTTCGCTGAATGGCCTATGTGTCTACAACGACACATATCGAGACAATGCTGATATTTTGAATGAGCTCGAGCGTGGGAGACAAAGTCATAGAGGGAACACGGAAAAAAACGTGTTCTTTCTTTCTTTCTCTCTCTCTCTCTCTCTCTCTCTCTCCCTCGGTCTCTCCCGGTCTCTCTCGGAATTCCTCTTTCCCTGATGTTCCATGTGGGTCTCTCTCTCTCTCTCTCTCGTGTTATTATTTCTTTCTTTTTCCCTCTCTCTCTCTCCCTCTTTCTCTCTCTCTCTCTCTCTATATATATATATATACATGTATGCATCTCTCTTTCTCGCCCTCTCTTTCCCTCTCTCCCCCTCTCTCCGTCGCACTCTCACTGCCTCTCTCTCTCTCTCTCCTCCTTCTCTTTGGGTGCAGTCCGGATGAAGAGGCAGAAGGCAGCGGGCAAGAGAGAGAGAGAGAAGGACGTGTGTATAAACCCAAACATATAGAGAGAACCAAAGAGACACACGAACAATATACAACCTCTTTTTCCGTGCAAGCGAATGAGCTCCACACTGCGTATCAACTGCCACGCGATTCAAACGTTCGCCGAGCAAGCCGGGTGCAACCTACGATTCGACCTACGATCGGCAAACTCATGAGGTGAACCGTGGACTGAGAAAGCGAGCGCGTGAACAAATGGCCCCAGGCTCGTGGGAGGTGACTCGCCGTCAGCTGCATGCGACGCCACTGGCGGACAAATCCTGCCCCGCCTTGTGGACAGCAGGAGCAGAAACACGTGTCACGGACTCGGTGCGCGGGCGATTTCCGCCACTGCTTGGGAGAACACTCCGCCAACAAAATGTGGCTGCTTTCCCGCCGACTGGGGCGCCTAGAAGCGGAGGAGAAAGAGTCAAGGAGGATGAAGCGGAGGGGGACGAGAAGAAAGGAAGTTGGACAACCGCACGAGTACGGCCCAGCTCTCCGGCGTGCAGTCTCGCGACGGCCTGGAGGAGGAAACACACGGGTCGCAAGCGCTCGGCTTCCACTTGAGCTTCCACTCCAGCTTGGTGGCGGCAGCGGTCGGGTCGTGGCGCTAATCGCGATCAAGAATGTCGACCCAGACCTCCGACGTCGCCTCCGAATAAACGGAGGCCTCGGAGTTCGACGGGGCCACGAGCTGTGTGCACGGCGGCCAGCAGTGCTGCAGGGCGCGGGGGCTGCTGAATGCCAGAATCATGGCGCTGGGATCGGCGAGCATGAGCGTGGAACGGAAGTCCGTGGTGTTGGGGAGAGTTGAACGGCGAAAGCGACGGAGTTGAAGGTAATGGGTGACGGGGGGGTGGCTGAAAGGGATAATGATGTCCACCGTGATCCTCGGAGTTTCCGGCACGCTTGCCCGATTACGCCAAGGGGCGCGACAGAGGACGCCCACCAGCAGGGGGTCCCGCAAGATGGTATGGAAAGCCGTGAGGTGGTCCGCCAGCATGTCAATCGTCGTGGTTCACGGCGTCCAAGCTCAGAAGGGCAGGCCTGAAGTCCCGGATCCGCTGAGGTAAACGGGCACCCGCGAAGGACAGCTGAATGACAGCAAGACCTATCCTCGTGTGTCGTGGGGAATTGTGCCTAGGGGGGACCAGCTCGAAGGGGTGAGGCACGAAGGCGACGCTCTTCATGATGGCAGCGAATCTCTGGCCCACCGCTGGAGACCACCACAAATCCATGATTTGCTCCGCCGAGTTCATGCCATGGTTCGGCGGGGGGGTGGACATGAAGCGGACGCTAACCGGGCAATCTGGCGAGCCCGCCTTGCGCATCAAGGCAGAGAGGAGGCGAATGATAGCGTTGTTGTCGGTAGGGGCCCACACGGTGACCGCCAGGCCCCGCAGATGCTCCAAACCTTGACGTCCCCCTTTTCCAGAAGCGCAGCCACCGTGCGCGACTCCTGGGCCCGCAGCGGCTCCCGGCAGGGAGTGGGGATGGAGGACCAGGTTCAGCAGCAACTTCTCATCGACGAAGTTCGTGGTGTCGCGTAGCATGCGCATGCCGTCCGTGCCGAGTTCCTTCCGGAGTGGCAGTTTGCTGGCCTTGACGGGACGGCGGGATCGGAGAAACTCGGCGAAGTCGTGTTCACACTTTTTCATCGTCGCGGGCGAGCTTGGCCGCCACCGCCTGGGCCCGCTGGATGTCCACCTCCGCCCATGCGCCGTAGGAAGCGAGGGAGCAAATGTATTTGACTGTGCGGAGGCGCGCCGCCAAGGCCTGCTCCGTCGGGTCGGGGCCCTCGTAAAGGGCAAAACCGAAGGCCTTCAAATGATCGTCAGAATCTGCGTGGTACCCCAGCTTCTAGAGGATAGCATCGCGGCCAGCCCAGTCCACGGGCAAGGTAAAGGCCGTCTCCTGCGGGGGATGCTGGACGATGGGGAAGTGGGTGAGGACGTCGTCCTCGAGCCAGTTCCGGAGGAGGGATGACTCTGTGGCCCAGCGGTCTGCAGACTGGCGGAGTCGACCTCCAAAGCGCCCAGGTCGGCCATGGCGTTGTCCTCCGCTCCTGCCGCAGAAACCAGTGCCAGCGCAGCTGGCTCCGGAGCAAGCGCGGCAAGACGGGTGCGGGGCCCTGGGGCGGCCGCCGCAAGACCACCTCCTGGAGCGGCGAAACCGGGCGGCCCGGCGGTCGCAGCAGGGGCACCAGTTGTCGCCGAGTCCACCTCCCCGATCGCAGCGGGGACCGCGTGGCCCAGGAGCGCCTGCCCGCGGCGTCTGCATCGGACCCGCTCGTCGGCACTTGCGGGGAGTGCGCCTGAGAGCAGGCAGGCCGAATGCGTGCACGCCATGCCGCAGGAGGGAGTCTGGGGTGGCCGAGACTCTGTGCTACCCTGGCCGGGCGGCCGTCTGCTGGGTCGCACGTGGCTCAGAACGGTCGCTTGAGCCCTCGACCCCTGGAGCTGACCAGGGGTGCAGTCTTGAGCCAGTATGTGTATGTATGTGTACATATATATATATATATATATATATACAAGGCTGCATTGGCGCTGCGCGCCATGCACCTTTGTCCTCTGAGTTCTACACGCAAGCGGGGTGCGTGCGTGCGTACATGCGCGCATGCATGTATACACGCGCACGCGCATGCACGCTCTGCACATACATACATATATATATATATATATGTATGTATGTATGTGTGTGTATAACTATACACCACACATGTATACTGTTGTGTATGTGTATACATCTTACACATAAGCATGTGTATGTATATGTATATGTCAATCGCAGGTGTTTGTTGGTGCACGCACCTATATATAATTATGGGTGCGCGTACACATGCGTATCTCAGGCGGTAATGGCCCGACCGCCTGCTCAGGGCATCTCGCAACTCAGAGGTGCGAGGGTCTCAGGCGAAAGTAGCCAGACCACTACGGGGCAATGCATATCCGATGTCAGCGATGCGAGGATGTTTCAAGCGAAAATGAACTGACCACCTCAACTGAGGACATACCCGAACCCGGAATTTCGATGATGCCTCAAACGAAAATGGCCTGAACATCTCAGCTCAGGGCATCCCTGAATCCAGAATTTCGAGGATGTCTCAGGTGAAAACGACGGACTACTCTGCGGCAGGGCATCTCGGAATCCAGAATTGCGAGGATGCTTTTAGCGAAAGTGGCCGGAACACCTCAGCTCAGGGAGCCCCAGAACCCAGAGTTGCGAGAAGGTCTCAAGCGAAAGTGGCCGGATAACCTTAGGGCAAGGCTTCTCTGGGGTCAGAGTTGCGAGGATATCTCAGCCGGCAGTGGGAAGGAGGAAGGCGAAGGGAAAAAGTGATGGGAGGAGTCCCGCGGACCCGAGGACAGGCAGGCACGAACGCTCAGGATAGGAAGTCATGGCATGGAGGCTGGAACTGACGCGGATGCAAGACGCTGGGAGCTGGCCTCCAAGAGCGTTGAAAGACAGGAGGACCTGAGAGGGACTCAACGACGAGCGCCGCCAGAACCTTCGGGAAAAATCTGGAGGCCTTGTGAACGTGTCGGAGTGCTACGTGTCTGATTGCTACGCGGCAAGGTTTATCCGAGGTTGACGTTGGGATGTCTCAGGCGGAACTGGCCCGAGCACCATGGGGCAGGGCATCTCCGAAGTCAGCTGTGCGAGGGAGTCACAAGCGAAGAGTGTTCTGAAAACATCAGGATCAGGCCGGATGGTCGAATAACCCCCTTACAAGAGCGTCCGAGCAGCCCCCGGGGAGCTTCCCAGCAGGTCGAGCAGCCCGGGAAGGGGCTTCCCAGCAGCCCGGGGAATCCGAAATGCGCTCGGGGGGGATATGTGCGCACATGTGAATTTATTTTGTTTATGTATGCTTGTGCATGTGTATGTGTATGTACATAAGGATATCACATGACAACGCCTTCCAACGTCTGAACGTCCCGAGAGCGTTTGACGATCGTTTTTCACGGTAATGTGTTGTCAAACGATGTCTACATCCGTGCAATAATTGCTTTACAAGGAAATTGGATGTAAAACGCTCTTGGCCCGTCTTGGGCCATTCGTGGCCCCAAACAGCAAAAACCTAAAAAACCTTCAAACCTGTTCAACAAATCAATGAATGTTGCCTCTTTGGGCCTTCTTGGGGTTCCTTTTGGGCCGATTTGGGACTCTCTTGAGCCGTTTTGGGGCCCTTTCGGGCCGTCTTGGGGCGTCTTGGAGGCCTTCGGCCGTCTTCGGGCTGTCTTGGGGGCCTCTTGGGGCGCTCCTGAGGCTCTCTTGGGACCGTCTTGGGGCTCCCTTGGTAGTTCTCGGGCCCTCCTGGGCCGTCTAGGGGCCCTCTTGGGCCGTTTTCGAGCCCTTGGGTCGGGTTGAGACGATCTTTGGAGCCTCGTGGGCCGTCTTGGGCAGTTCTTGTCCTGGAAAAGCGACAACCGAAAAATTCTTCAAAGCCATTGAACAATCAATGACTTTTGCCTCTTCGGGCCCTCTTGGGAAGCCTCTTGGAGGCCTCTTGGGGCGTTTGGAAGCCATGGTGAAGGTTTCGGTGTGCTTTGGAACAGTCGACGAGCTGTCTTGGGCAGTATTGGAGGCATCTTTGGACCTTCCGAGAAGGCTGGAAGGCCGAAGGAACCCTTTGCACGGGCGTCCGAGCAGCACGGGGGGGGGCTTCAAGCAGCCCGGGGAGTCCGAAATTCGTTAGGTGTGGGGGGGGGGGGGGGGGGGCGCTTTTTCCGCGGTCCCCGGCCCTCTGAAAATATATGCATAGGAATACTAGTGTGGGCCCGTGGATTAAGCCCACGGAGTTGAGGGGGTAGAACCTTGGTGGTGCGTTCTGGGGTGTGCGGCGCAATCGGCGACCGCCGCAGATCTCGCGATGAATGTTCGAATGGCGTTCCCCTGCCGCGGGCGGACATGCAGGAAACCTTTTGGAACTCCTGGGGGGGCTTCTGGGGCCCTCTGGGGCCTTGTAGGACGCTTGTCGGGCCGTCTTGGGGCCGTCTTGGTTCATTTTGGACGCCTCTCGGGCCGTCTTGGGTTCATCTTGGGCCGTATTGGGCCCCTCTGGGGCCCCTCCTAGGGTCCTCTTGGGCTGTCTTGGGAGCCTCGTGGACCGTCCCAGGGCCGTCATGAGCCATCTGGGGGCCTTCTTGGGAGCTTCTTGGGCGGTCGTGAGACGATTTTGGAGGCCTCCAGGGCTGTCGAGGACGCGGGGACGACCCAAAAGGCGAGTTTGCTGAAAACGTCAATTTTCCGGTAGGACTGTGGCGATTTTTGCTGAATGGGGCTCTCTCGGGGGCTCTTGGAGCCGTGGTGGCCGTCAGGGGAGCAGCCTGGGCCGCCCGAGGGCCGTCTTGGATAGTCTGGGGACCCCCGTGGGCCGCGTGAGGGCTCTTCAGGAACGTTCTGGCGCCGTGTAAGGGCTCTCGGGGGGCCTTCGGGTGCCCTTTCGGGGGCCCGGGGAGCTCGGGGGACCGGGGGTCCACGCACACCCGCCAAGGTTCTACGGATTCATTTGGATGGTTCTCTGAAACTCCTCAAACAGTACTTGCACTTACACCCTGGGCGATGCTTAAGAAAACCTAAGTATTCTCAACTTTTCAATGTAGATCCCAAGATTGTGATAGAAGTTCTGGGTTTTAGTCAAGTTCTGAGACTATGAATTTCTTAACCCATGATTTCGTAAGCATTTCGCAGGGTGTAGGATTTTACTAATCATCTACGGAACTGGGCCTGGCTGGCGGCCTGGCTGGCTTGTCGCCACCGGTCGCAACCGCCCACTTGGGCCTGGCTGGCGGTCCGGCCGGCACGTCGCCCGCCGTTGCAGCCGTCCGTCGCCGCCGCCGCATGTTGGTCGCAAGTTTGATTGTGCGAACCTCGTAGATTGCACCAGATGGATTGCACCACAGATCTTACGCCACATATATTGCACCACATAGTTTGCTTGACATCGATTGCACCATACAAACATATATATATATATATACATATATATAACATATTGATTGACATATTCTGCCACATATATTGCACCATAACGGTTGCTTGACGTAGGATGCATCACATAGCTCACACCAAACATATTGCACCATGAGGATGCGCAACGTATATAGGGAAACATAGATTGCACCACGTAGCTCGCACCGCAGATATATTGCACCACATACTTTACACATATACAGCACTATGAAGAGATTGCCTCACATATTTTGCGCTAAACAGTTTGCACCACATGTACGGCGCTACATCGATGGCATCACGTGCGTTGCACCGTTTAGACTGCACCACGGGATGGCACCACGTAGATAACACCACATAGCTTGCACCACATGGCTGGCACTACGCAATTTGCTAGAACACATTCTTTGGGGTCCACGCTGGCTAACATATTTTAGACTGCACAGCACAAAGCCGGGGTACACCGAGTACTGTGACTCGATAGGAACAGATCAAGGAACATCATATCGGGAATGTGAACCTAGATCCAAGGGGTGGACTGCGTTGGCATTGGCATCCTCGTTGTCATAGGTATCCTCACCCCACTGCTAATCATCCTCGTCACCCTGCTTTTCATCAGCAAATTGATCCTCCTGTCCCTGCTCCTGTTCCTACTGCTCGTCATCTTCTTACTTGTTGTGCGCCCCCCTGCAATGTAGAACAGAAAGAGTGCTGGACACACACACACACACAAACTGCCACAATGATATACTGCAGCGAGGTATACACTGTTGTGGCGTCAGCAAGCAAATGCGAACGAAGTGGCAAACTGCATGCTCTCTGTAAGTATCTCGATGTCCGACAGGCGACTCCAGGGGTAGGCGTCTTCTGGGATTATGCGCTAGATTTAGAAAGGAGCTTGAGGCTCACTACGATGCGCGTGTGTGGGGGGTGGTGAAAAAGAAGAATGCGTCATTCCTTGTCGGTGGTGAGCATCCACTCCATGCATGAGCTTGCCTGTCCCACTGTAGCTCAACATGTTCTTGTACATTGGCCATTATTTGTTGTCCAGACCTAATTGGGAATATGGTGGAGACAATGCCGCTGTCTTGAACTATTTGTGAACCGTGACCTCCCGAGGGTATTAAGATCACGCAAGGCAACCTTCATCTGTCAACTCCTCCATTGCTGCGCACGCTCTGGCCGGTTGCTCTGACGGTCTTTCGCCGCAAGCGCCTGGCCATGACTGTTTGCCTCGGCATGCTGCTTTGTGCGCGTTTTGGTGAAATCGTCCACCTTGCGCCAGTCCAATCAAAGCCGGAATCCCGCACCGCTGTTTGAATAGGTGGCGTTCGGAAAGAGTGAGTAGGCTGCCCCAATTTCGACGGCACTCTAGGCGGACGTTTATCCTTGGCTCGTGCGCCGACTTGCCACATTTCATAAATGAGACATCGATCGATTAGCTTCCCAGACTGCAACATTAGCAACGGAAATTGATCCACCTATTCATGCCTGTTCCTTCGTCCACCTGTATGTATACGGGTATGGTTGCATGGCGGCCTCCTTATACCTCCACGGGCTTCCGAAGACATCCGCGAAGACATCCACGGAGATCTCTGGGGTTCCTGGCGAGACCTCCAATCCTCGGATGGGGAATCCGAGGTCTCACGGCCGACGAATGGCGACTCGGCGGGAGGTCGCGCCGTCTTCGCCACCTTCGTGAACGAAAGATCGCACCAAGCCATGGCACTCTGGAGAAAATCCAGGCCGCCCTGCGCCATCCCCCAATGGCCACGCTCTCCACCATCCTCCACGCGGTCTCGAGGACCCCCCGAATGTGTGTTAGCCCCGACGCGTGCTTGTCCATCGAAGCCCTTCAGTACGACGCAGGCAACGCAATGAGGGCCAGCATGCGCTGCGTGCGACTGGTGGAGCTGAATGGGGGAATTGGACTAACGCATCCCCTGATTTGAACGCCCGACATGGGTACGGAAGAAATGGGTACATTGCCCAACAACAAATGGTGTCCCAAACCAACAGCGGCCGCTGTTGGGCAGGCGGCCGTTTGTCTCAAATGGACACAGGCCGCGGCGGCGCGGACGGCGAGTACTGTTCAAAACGAACAAGAACTGCTGCAGGGCATTGTGCCCATTTTTCCTGTACCCATGTCTGCGAGCCCGGGATTTATCCATATCCACCGCCTGGGAACCGACGTCCTGGTGCCCCAGCGGGCGGTGGACATGGATATATTTCGGCCCCAGGGGTCTCGAATATGTCCATATCCACCGCCTGCCGAGGCTCCGGAAACTGACCCTCCAGGCGGTGGTAATGTATGAATTCCCGCCTCTGAATTTCCTTCGTGCTGACCCGAGGATCAGCGACGGCCCCACGGGGCGGTTTCCCGCCGGCCGGGTGACCACGATGTGCGGCGCCCTGTGGCGCCACGGCCTGTAGCTCCCGGACCCCTCGCGGTAGCGGGACCACAGCTGGGTGAAGCTGTACTGGCGGCCGCCGGCCCCCCCATCCCGCCCCCCCCCCCCGGCTGTCTTCGCCGCCGCTGCCGCTGCCGCTGCCCAGACTTCTGTCTCCCACTAGTTGGCGGGTGTGGCTGCCCTTCGGCACGCCTCGGGATACTGCCCGTCCCACTGCCGTGCGTCGTCGTCCTTCTCCAGCTGCCTCTGGGCGTTTCGCGCCGCCCCCTGGTCGTTCTTCCCCAGCTGCCCCGCACCTCCATCTCCACGCGTCTCACCCCCGCTCTCCTGCAGCACCCGGCCGCCATGTCGGCCTCGCACCCCCTCGCACTTCCCAACTCGGGCTTGACAGGGGGGTAATCAACCCTCGTCACCAATGGCTCTGTCTACGTCGCCACTGGCCCCGTCTGTGGCACTGACTGCTTTTGCACCCCGCTCCACTCCGTCCCCGCCTCTTCTTTTGTCTAGGGTCGGGCTCCATGCCTTTGACGCGGTCTTCTTGTATCTCTCTCTCTCTCTCTATCTCTTTCTCTTTCTCGCTGCGTCTCCCGGAAAAGTCCATGATGGTCACAGCAGGAAGCGTAAAGCAGAGAGCATCATTATGGGGTCAAGGGTCACAAGGCATCCTGGGCACCTGCCCAATTTCCTCTCCACACTTCTGCGTACAGAGCGCCAGCGGAGGCCGCATGGCTTTGGTCCAAGGACGCTTGATATTGCATATGAAGCGCACGTGACGTCACTGTACAGGCGCTCGAACATTCCAGCTGGTGGCTTTACAGAGTGCACTCTGAACTCTGGATCAGAGGGCGCCTGGATCAAGAAGACGTTGCAAATGCCGTAGATGATGAAAACTGCAGTCAGCATCCTGGAAATCAGCGCCTTGCAACAACTGTGGCAGAGGGGGGCGGCAATTCCAGGGAGCACAAGAGGAGATGGACGCCAGTGAGACGCATGGGCAGAGCGCAGAAGGGAGATGGGCGCTACGGAAAAAAGTGCGGTGGAGGGTGGCGGAAAGCGGAGGGGAGAGCGAGAGAGAGAGAGAGAGTCTCAGAGAGACAGGGAAGTTAAAAGATGGAAGACATCTTGACAGGTACCATGGCCCCGAAGCCGAGGGTGGGAGCTTCTGGGGAGGACGACATGGGGGAGGATGATTTGCACCGCATCGCCAGTGTATCGGCGATGCATCGGCGACCACGTCGTGGAGAAAATCGGGATCCACAGTGAGCCGCATCTGGGAGAAGGAGGAGGAGGAGGAGGAGGAGGAGAAGGAGGAGGGAGGAGGGAGGAGGAGGAGACCCCATCTGGGAGACCTGGATCTTCGCGGCCCAGAGCTGGAGGCAGGCAGCCCGCCCAGGCCTTGGGAGCGAAGTCGCCGTAGCCCACGGTGGTGAGCGATATGACGATCCAGTAGAGCATCTGCGCCACGCTCACCTGCACCAAGCGTCTATCGGGCCGGGCGAAAGGGGGGGATAGCAAAGGGGGGGGGTGAGAATCAGCTCACGTGGCTGATTTTCCCAGCGCCTCCCGGCGCCGGAGGCGCCCATGTATCGAGGAATGGGCCTGGCGGCGCGGCCGAAACCAGCTGCATGCAGCAGATTTCGTAAACCCCCCTTTCCCTATCCCCCCTTTTCGTCTTGCCGGAGTCTAGGGTCGGGTACACGCTAACATGGATCAGGGATCTGTGGGCCTGGGGCCGGGGCGTCAGATCCACGGATCGGAGAAAGCCCCCCCCCCCCCCGGAAGCATGAGACCAGTGCCTCCCCATCCCGCGACGGAGATCGCCGCTCTCGCGCGGAAGCGGGACCCGTCGCCGCTGTACACGCGCCTGAGTCCAGGCCTCTGGCTCCTCGATGCGGGGAGCCTTCACTGCCCTGAACTCTGAACACCATACCCCTTGCCGGCTGGCACGCTGATGGTCCGAACTCCGAACCCCGAACCACGGATCCTCGCCAACAGGTCCCGGCCCAGGGTCATCCAACAGCAGCATGCCGCAGCCCGAGGCCGACCTTGGGGGGGCGCAGGAGGGGGACCGAGCTGGACGGGCGGGGCACCGCGACGACGCGTGCGGCCCTCCCCCTCGCCCCTGCGCAGACCGAGAATGATGTCATCATGCACTCGGCCCAAGATGTGTTCCAGCAATTCTGGAGTACCCAGCGGCACCCCTTGCTGCAGCCCGTGCGGAACAACTCTCAGGATATCCTGGAGGCCCCGGGGACCCTGGCACGCAGCATCATCAGCACGTGCCTCCTGCCCCTCGCCCCTGCAGGCCGCGGGCGCGCCTGGTCCCCGTGCGCGGTCTGGACGTACGAGTCCACAAGGAAGGCGGGGTCTCCCAGAAGCTCGCAGGTGAAGATGGTGCCCGCCATGACGAAGATCAGGGAGAGCCTTGGCGGGGGACTCGCAGCACGAGGGCCAGGCGGGCGAGGACGAGGAGAGGTAGCCGCCGTGCCCACCTCTCTACGTGCACAACCTCACATCCGCGGGAACACACTGCGCTTAGGCTTGCTTGACATGATCGCGCGCTCTCCAATGTCTTTCGCAGAGAGCGCTCAGGCGCAGCGCCTTCACCAAGCAATGTTGGAGGAGTGCAGAGGGAGATGGAGGAAGTTGGATCATGTGAGGCGTCACGCCTCCAGGCTACACTGCCGCCTCCTACACCTTGATTTACCGGAGGGAAATCGGCAGCCTGCAAGGCCGCCCTCGCCAGGCTTCGGGCAGCAGCATGCGGGCAGGGTGTGGTGTGGCATTCTTCCCCTGGCAGCCCAACCAATGAAACTGGAAGTGTATCGCCACAGGGAGGAGAGGGATGAGGATGATGCTGATGATGCTGCTGATGATGATGATGGTGATGATGATGATGATGAGGAGGAGGAGGAGGAGGAGGAGGAAGAGAAGGAGGAGGAGGAGTAGGAGGAGAATGAGGAGGAGGATGGAGAGGAGGAGGAGGAGGAGGAGGAGGAGGAGGAGGAGGAGGAGGGAGGGTCCGGGGCATCCCGCGCATCCCACCGGCGCCCCGATGCGCGGCGGAAGAATGCCGCCGCACACGCCGCCGCAAAGGGCGCGGGCCACCGCCGCTCTGGCCGCCGGCTCGACCTCGACGGCGATCGCGCCCGCGCTAGCCTCCGGCGCGCCGCGGGCTCCTCCGCCCAGCGCCACGCGGCGCGTCCCCGGCCGCGGGCCTCGCAGGCGGCTTCCTCGGCTCCTCTTTTGCGCCCGCGGGGCCGTCGCTGGCGCCGGCCGCGGGGGAGCCGCCAGCGCCCCTGTCCTTGCCGCCGCCGCCGCCCTGCCCAGGGAGCAGCCTCTGGAGCTTGTTGACCAGCCCTGCCCGCTTCTGCTTCTCTCCGTTTCTCCTCTCATCCTCGTCCTCGCCCTCGCCAGGCTCCCCCTCCTCGGCCTTGCCGGCCATCAGCTCCTTTGCCCACTCGACCATGGCGTCGAGCCACTCCAGAAAGCGCGGCCAAGCCTCCTGGGCGTACCTGCTGACTCCCACCTCCCTCAGTCTTCCAAACTCCTCGCCCAGGAACTTGACCTCCACTTCGGTCCACTCCCAAGCCAGGGCGGCATACTCCTTCGCACTGAGCGCCCACTGCCCCACCAGCTCCCGCGGCGGCAATTTGTCCAGGACCTGCTCTCTGGATGGCAGCTTCTCCCAGACCTCCTTCGGATCGACCTGGCGGAATGCGCTGGTAGTGCTCGTAAGCAATAGCGACACCATGACCGCCTGCAGGCTTTGGACATCATCGACACCGAACAACCACCAGCTGGCGTACGCCAAGCGCACGCTCCAGGCTCGGACGCCCCAGCAGTGCTTGCGCTCGGCGCTCGGGTCGCCAAGCACGACCCAATGGAGCTCCTTGCTCCAAACGCGCAGAGCCTTCCTCGCTCTTCTCCTCTCCATGCTCGCGGCGCCCTCGCCAGGGAAGTGGATGACCTCTCGCGAGCGCGGCTCCTTGCGCAGGAACCGCCTCACCTCCAGAGGGAGCATCTGGGTGAACTTGACCACCTCTTCTCTGATCAGCAGCAACTGGTGGCGGATGAGTCCCTGCCACACGGGCTCCAACTTCGCAAAGTCCACGCCCCCGTAGACCCCGTCCGCGGCCTGCAGTGCTCGCTGGGTCAGCTCCCTCGCCCTCTTGTTCTGCACGAAGGTCGCCAAGTCTAACGGCGTCGGTCGGCAGAATTGCTGCGAGGGAGTGACGCACAGCGGCTGGGTCTTCGCGTTCACGTTTGCTCCCAGCTCGATCAGCGCCTGCACGGACCTGTGCTTGCCAGAGAAGGAGGCGAAGTGGAGCATGGTGAAGTCGCAGACGCCACCGTTTAGGAGCTCCGTGAAGATCTCGTCCTTCAGCTGCTGGGCGTAGGACGCGACAAACTTCCCGTGGTCGCTAAGGGCCGCATCCGCCATCAGGCACCACACCCGAAGGTGCGCGACGAGGGCACGGACAGGAACGAGTCGCGGGAGCTTTCTTCGCCCACGTCCCCGCCCTCTGCGAATGCGCGCAGGATGATGTCTCTGTTCTGGTCGTGATGCGTCTGCGCTCGGGGTCGATCAAGGCCTCGTAGGCCTCAACCAACTCCTGGAACCGCTCCGTCGCATTCGGATCGCCGCGGTTCTTGTCCGGGTGAAGCTTGAGCGCAAGCTTTCGGTACGAGTTCTTGATGTCATCGGAGTTCGCATTAGAATGCACGCCGAGGATCTGATAGCACGTGCCGCCGCTGACCCGCTCAATCTCCTTGGACTCGTCGCCATGCTTGCTCGCCATGGAACGGCGGATCGAGGGGCCGAGCCCGCAGGCTTGAGCCAAATGGCTACGGAGGAGGAGGAGGAGGAGGAGGAGGAGCATGGAGGACTACCGCGTATCCCGATGGTCTGTTCCTAACTCTGCTCGCCTCTCTGAAGGGGGAGGATGAGGAGGAGAGGAGGAAGGGGAGTAGGGGAGGAGGGAGAGGAAAAGGGGAGGATAAGCAGGAGGAGTCCCGCGTATCTCAGTGGTCTGTTCCTACCTCTGCTTCCCTCTCTTGGGCCCGGAGAAGGAGCAGGACGAGGAGGAGGAGGAGGGGAGGGGGAGGAGGATGGGGAGGAGGAGGAGGAGGAGGAGGAGGAGGAGGAGGAGAAGTAGGAGGAGCGCAATTACCTCACGCGTCCATCGGTCCCACGGCACTCAACGCCTTGGGGGTTTCAGCCAGGGATAAGGCCTAGCCGTTCCAGGCGGAGGCGGAAGAAGCGAATAATTGTCAGGCATTTTCGTGAGCGTCGCTTTGAGGGCCACGAGAGATTGAGACAGATCGAGGGGCCGACCGTTCTGCCGCCTAACCGTTTCCTTGGCTATGTGGTAGATGTAAAAGCACAGGGAAGTAGCAAGCACAGCATTCTCTCGAGTTTAATCGGGCGCTGGATAATGAACTGGCAGCCCAAGTCCGAGACTTATGAGCGGACATGAGGGCACCACCGCACGAGGACGACAGATCAGATGGACAAGGTGAGGGCATCGAAGGTAATGCTCAATACTGTCCGGATAGCGGTGGCAACCGAACACACAACACCATCGCTTCGAGGTCACGTGCATGCGGTCCGTTGTCGTCCACCCCCCAGCGACCGTTTTCAAGTAAGGCCAACGGATCGAAGCGGGAGCCCGGAACAGGATTTCTCGAGCCAGGGCCCACCGCTCTCGCAGTCGTGTGGGGGTGGCATTAAACCAGGCCCGCACGCGACGCCCAATCAGTCGCTCTAATTTGTCGGGATAGGCTGAGCCAGAAACCGAACGCAAAAAAATGACCTTGCATCTTGGGCCGGCGTCCCTCCAGAGCGGCCTCACGCACGGCGGCACGGGCACGGCTCTGGGCGAGGCGAAGCTGCGAGGCCAAGAGGGGAGGACGGCGACACGGCACGGCGGATCTCAACTGTTCGTAGTACTGCACAATCGACTGCTTCATCTTCCAACACGGCGCGCACCAGGCGTGCTGAATCATGTCCACAACTGGGAGGTGATCGACCACTCCCGAGAAGAGATCTGGAGCGAGCTGGAGCCGACGGTACAACGGACCCCAAACATTATCTAGAGTAATGGAGGCGGACCGCCACGCACTCACAACCGCCAAAGAGCATATGGCGTGAGGAGCGGGAGAGGGAGACCAAGAAGCGAGGGAGAGGAGCTCCAAGAGAGCGAAGGAGCTCGGGGGTAGATGAAGAGATTCGTGCAAACCCCAGGGCTCGCGCCGCCGCAACGCGGAACTCAAGGGATAATATTGGCTCAGATAAGAGAGGCAAGAAACGACGGAAGAGTTGTATAATCTCGAGGCGACATCGGCAGATGACTGCAACATTCCTAGTTCCTTGCACCTCGCGACGTATTTCTGATGAGGAGCGTCCCATATCACGTCGAGGATAGCACCTGGACCTATGAGGGTGCCGAGGAGGAGGAGGAGCAAGAGGGGAGGAGGGATAGGTACGCGTCACCCTCGGCCCTCTCAACGATGCGACTACTTGGTGTCTTGCGTGTGTTGGGCTCGCCGCGCATCAAGACACACTCCTTTTGGCATCGGCGCCACTGCTTTGAGAAGTTTCCCCGCCCAACATGCCTCGATCCCGCGAGCAACGCGAAAACGTCGGGGGCAACACTGCCCGCCCGGCTTCCCGTGTAGAGTGGGGCGCCGCTGCCTCGGCACAACATCACGTGCCGCTAGGTTCCCGTGCTCACTCTGACAATCAAGCAATTCGGAGGTCGGACTTCTTGAAAGGCTACGTACGTCGTGGCTACGTACGTCGTGGCTACGTACGTCGTCGGACTTCTTGAAAGGCAGAGACCCGCGGATGCGCCTCAGGAGCTGGATTATGGCGCAAATGGCGCGGCTGCGCATTGCAAAGCCCACGCAGCACGGCGTCTCGCTGTCATACGAAGAGCAACGATTCAATCGACGCAGATGCCGACCAGGCACTGAGCGCAGTCGACAGGAGCGGAGAGGAGCGCAGAAGAGGATAAGGAAGAGACGACCGCCCAAGAACCTTTGAGGAATCGTCTGAGCACCTGGACAGTGCATCGCTAGCGTGTTAGCCATTAGCCTGGATTTAGTCGGGAGAGGGAGCCCTGGGGCATAACTCCCTCGCACCGCCCGTTTTCAACAGCGCTTGTTCTCAACATTTGTTTGGGCTGCAATACTCGGGCGAACAGGGTCTTTCGGAAGCGCGTGCATACGACTGCCCACTCTGCCAGGGCGGGAGGGGGGGGGGGGAATGGCGAATGATATGTATAGATCCGCTGGCCCCGTTGTGAGCCAGCAGGCTGCGTGCGTTAGGCTTGCTGCGCCCTGCTCCACTGCCAGTGTGAAGTCTCCCATGATATAGTTCTACGTTCTACCTCTTACTGTA